TCTCCAAGTTCTTGTTAACAGTAGTTAGGATTTTTCGTGTTATCCTCCTCTTCTTAATCATATTTTGTTATGTTGGTTGAGTTGGCGGTGGAAAAGGGGAGTGGGGGGGGGGGGGGTTCCTTGTAGAGTCATGCCATATACTCAAGGGGTTGCCACCTGAAGAGGGTCGGAGACCACGGCTTTTGCGCAATATAACACTATCATCTGGGAAGACAAAACGGTGACAACAACAGAACAGACAATATCAGTGAACGTTAAATGACAGTGTAGTTACGAGTAATTGTGTCTGCATGTATTTCGGCGTCTGTGGCATAGGCGTTGCGAACGCGCTTTCTAAATGCCGGAGTGCCGAGTTCAATCACAGCTGCGGACGATTTGTCTTGCGTTGGTTTCGACTGTGGTGCCGAGAGCTGACCGTTCAGTGACAATGGCAAACTACTGAACGTAAAATTTGCCTAGACAAACTAAAACAGCCAAAAAATGCTGTGGTTGGTTCGGCAACGTCCTGTAAAGGATATGCAACTAACTTTAAATTATGTATTTCTATGACATAGTAACACAGAAGGCGCCTCTAGCTCTCCAATTAGATATTGGACTGGTTGTTGGCCGCATTTATGAACGGATAGGTTTGGATTTTAGGCTCCTTATACGATGGAATCGGCTGGCTTAAGCGTATAGTAGACTCCTGATTTACGGCATAGACTAAGGTCTTAGATGTAAGGCTACCGTATGTATTTATGAGGCGGACATTGTATGTACAGATTGTAACTTTTAATTTGACAATTCCAAAATCTGAATATATTTATCTACCTTAAATTTCAGTATGTATGTATATATATATATATATATATATATATATATATATATATATATATATATATATATATATATACACACACATACACACACAAACAAACACACAAGCACACAGACATAAACACACATAATAGGCAATAAATGTAAAACAAAACAGAGTGTAAATTTTTTTCCTTCTTTGATAAAATAATAACTTTTCAGTAGTAGATGACCTGGAATGCTAACGGACAACAAGTTCCTGCAGCACTAGAATGTGTCTGCCGAAAGGCGCAATTTCATAGTCATGTTGTGAAGGGGCGAAGACATTTACGTCTTTAGATGATGAAGAAGAAGAAGAAGAAGAAGAAGAAGAAGAAGAAGAAGAAGAAGAAGAAGAAGAAGAAGAAGAAGAAGAAGAAGAAGAAGAGGAAGAAGAAGAAGAAGAAGAAGAAGAAGAAAAAGAAGAAGAATAAGATGATGATGATGATGATGAAGCAATAAAGGCAGCAGAAGCAGCAGCAGAAGAAAAAGCTGAAGAAACAGCAACAGAGGAAGCAGCAACTGGACAAGCAGCAAAACAAGAAGCAGTAACAGAGGAAACAGCAACAGAAGAAGCAGCAACAGAAGAAACGGCAGCAGAAGAAACAGCAACGTAGGAAACAGCAACAGAAGAAACAGCAACAGAGGAAACAGCAACAGAGAAAGCAGCAACAGAAGAAACGGCAACAGAGAAAGCAGTAACAGAAACAGTAACAACAGAAGGAGCAGCAGCAGGAAAAGCAGCAGCAAAATAAACAGCAACAGAGGAAACAGCAACAGAAGAAGCAGCAACAAAAGAAGCAGCAGAAAAAGAAGCAGCAGAAGAAGAAGCAGCAACAGAAGAAGAAGCAGCAGAAGACAGGGGAGACTGAGAGGGGGGAGGAGGAAAAGAAAAAGGAGGAGTAGAAAAACCGTTTTGTTATTTATATTTTTTATTATTTATTGTGCACATTCTCTCATACCCCTCCACACACACAAATACACATACGCAGTCACTTAAAAAACATTGGGGCCGTCGGACACTCACACACAAGTACACTCACGCACGTCTTAAAGACAATTATAATGGACTAATTTTAGTGTTTATAAATTATAACAAATGAAGAAGATCGAATTGCTTGTTAAATGATGCCACATAATATACATAAATAATATATTCAAATCTTTATAAACACAAACCATATCTCTGATATTGATAGCTTAGGATTGCCCATAATGTGCATAAAATACATTCCTATCTTCTTCCTTGTTAGTTAATTGGTACTGTCTGGGACAACAAACAGGCGTTCACACAGTCAAATAACCATGGTTAATGGTTACCAAAACGTGATAAATGCACGGTCTGATATCGATCAGGAAGACATCAATGTGTGGGTTCCATGCTATGGTCTGATTGCAATGCTATAAAACTGCAGCCAGCGGTAGAAATATCACAGTCTCGGAAATAAAACAAGTGTACTCTACAATACGAGTGTTTTCGAGTCTGCGCAACTTGCTCGCCTTCTGCTGATAACTGTAGGGTTTGAAGCTTGATGAAGTTCTATCGGATGGTGGCTTTGGCGTCAGCTTCTGCTTCTTCATGTAGTCATGTCTATCCAAACCTTCTTTCACGTATTCCTTAAACCAGTTCTGACACAGAATATCTTCCATGCCATGCTGTCTGTCTCTCAACTTCTCTCTTGGTATCCCTCTACCTCTCTACCCATTCGGCTTCCCCACAGTCATTATGCACTACAGTATTCTTCTTCTCATGACATGACCAAAGATTGTCTATTTCAGATGTGGGCAGTTAAATATTTCATGAATCATCTTCTTTCAAGACATCGTCATTACTCTTTTATTTCATCTGTCCAGGGTGTTTTTATCATTCGTCTATAAAATCGCATCTCTACAGCTTTCACGCAGTTCTTCGCTAACTATCCAAGATTCACTGTCGTAATTAGGATATGATTTATATAGCTCTGTAAAATTTCCTGTATCGCCTTAATTGACAAAGATAGATCTTCATTTTCCGTGAATAATTTCCATCGAAATAAATCAAATCTGCAACTAATAAGAACACAGTAGTGAATTGTCTTGACAGCAATACATTTCTGACAAAACTGGATGAATAAATTATTCAAACGATCAGTCAAGACTTGCTTTTACTAAAGACACGACCCTTCCTCAGTAGCCAACTAAGAGTCGACATTCTAATAGAGTTGTAAACTGATTAAAAAGTCCGCCTTTGTTTTCCCCTCAGAGATAAAAATCACTCAAAGACTCTACTCATCCCCGCTGAATTAATCTTTCAAGGTATGTTCTCTGTCTGTTCGATTGCACTGTCTCTTTGATATCAGAGAGTTTTCACCGTGTCAGATTCAAAAAAAAAGTCGCCAACTGCACAGAAGAGCAGCAGCAGCCAGTCTGAACGTCTGCTCGTTACCCCGAACACCTATGTATAACTGGACAGAAAATCTGTGGTATAATCCTAATCTGAATCTTATCAGACGGTGTAAGCCATTATATGCTTACGTCAAGAGCCACTTGTAACTATTAGGAATGAAACAGCTATAACTTTATCTTCTCAAAAAGGAGTCTACGAGCATGCCATGCCTGCTTTGGAGTTATAACCTACCATTTCAGTGTCTTCAAACCAATCATTTGAAGGATCTTCAAATGAGCGGGCCAAATGGCCAGCAAATCACAAGCGCGTACATGAAAAGCTTGGACAAAGCAGCACTGTACGGTCTAGACTAGTGGATAACGACGAATACTCAACACCAACACAGTTGCGTGAAATAGGAATAAAGCATGGTTAAACACAGCTATGCAAACTTTGAGGCTGACATAGAAGACATTATAACTAGCTCCTCGTGGTAACAATCAGTAAAGGTACCTTGTGATTGCTGCTTTATCGGAGAACTGAGCATGCATAGGAATGCCCAGTGTGTGGGTAGTGACATCGATTGTGATAACAGAACATCTTTTTCTTCGTTTGTTTTAAAAAGGGCAGTATGTGCATTGTTTTGTAGTATCAAGATAGGCTGTTTAACCCACCCCTTTTAACGCCACACATTCATTTTCAAAAAATGCCAAATTAGTCACCTTTTTGTGACACGCTTATTAAGGGGTAGAGGATCTCTTTATTTACCTCACAAATGGGATACCAGAACCCACACAGGCAAATCACTGGACTAAACAACTTTGGCATTACAAATGTATCCATACCTGTGCAGTACTTTAGGCTACTCCCTGGCTGGTACTTGCTCTTGCTGTGGCTACCCTAATTGTAGCTTTCTTGGAGGTTGAACTATGGGACTATCAGAGATTCTCCCTGTTGGAAGGGGTGGCTGGTCGAGTGGTTTTGACATGAGGTTCTCATACGAGAGACCCAGGTTTTACCCCCCCCCCCCCCACACCCCCAAAGGTGATGGACTTTTTCTGTCCCTGGCAACATTAAACATCCTAATCTTCACAGTCATGAAGACAGCACTAGCCATACGACCCCTTGTCTACACCACCCTTAAAGTGGTAAATAGACCCAGCAGTGACAGTTGACAGTCCCTGTTGCAGTGCCATTTTTTTAAACCACAGGGGTAGTCAAACTTTCAGTTAGCAGCCTGGAGGGAAACTGGACTGACAAATTGACAAAATAACTTAACAACACAACTATCACGGTTTTAATATTTATTTCTTTTTGGAAAAAAAAAAGAAGAGCTTAAGTAGCATGACTGGCACTAAAAAGAATGTGCTGTTAATGCACTTGAAGATAAACAATCAATTAGGAAACATAATAAAAGAAACAAAATTAAAATAACATGACACTCACAATAAATGTGCTTGTGGTGTTATTTGTTTACTAAAAGTACTACAAGCAAGAACTGTCTTTAAGCAATGAAGAAAAGGTTATTCAACATTAACATATGGTAATTAAACAGCAAATTGCCCATTTGTCTGTTTCAATGCTATATTTAGTTATTTTACAAACCAATTTAAGTCCTTTAAAAAATCATAATTATTTCAAATAAATTATTTTTAATTTCTTTTCCAAATCTGTTGTAGTACATTGTTTCTGTGTTCAAAGTCTTCTTCTGGCCTGTTTCCCTCATAGATCCTAGAAAAACTGTCATCTATCTGGGTACACCTTCACTTTCATGTTGATTTTGTCTTGAAGTAACTTAATTTTACTGCAGTAAAAAGTAAAACCCAGGAATCTGACCTTTGCTGACATCAGTCCGATTCCGTTTTACCTTCTCAGCATTACTGAATGTGAACAACACTGAGCCATTCTGAACCTGTGCAAGTCCATTGACCCCTCTGTATGATTCTGGCCCTTTGATGTAAATTTCCAGGGTGTATGGACTGTTTTTCTCAATTCTGACTGGTTTCTCCAGTATCACAGGAAGGATAACTCCAGCACCCTTGACAAAAATGGTCTCCATGACAATGACCTTCTTTTTCTCTTGCAGTACAAGGTCTACTTGGTATTTACCCTCTTGTTGTTTCGTGGGGCCATAAATGCTGAAGCCATAGAGATGCAGAGCCTGATCCACAGTAAATGTGATTGCATCTGGGTGGTTAGCATCATTGATGTCAGAACCGCTTGCTTCTTGAAGACGGGTTATCTATCAGAAAAAGAGGGGGGAAATAAAAAGACATTTATAAAAGTTTTTCAGTAAGTCATCAACCAACCCACACTGGACAGTAGGGGGCTTCATAACTAAACTAAGGGGGCTGTGTGGTCTCGAGGCATGGCATCCACCTCGAGTGTTAGAGATCCTGGTTTCAGGCCCCTGTAAAGGCTGGCATTTTGTTCACGTCAACTTCTAGTAATTTCCTCTGGTCTCTGGGTAGTAAAATCAGACGCCCGTGTGTACTGTTGAACACGAAGAAAATTCTTTGGCAGTTGGAAATTGAATAGAGTATCCCAACGACGCTGCCCTGACAAAATATGAAGTTAAAAATCTCATGCTTGGGTCAGAAGTAGAACGGAACACTTATGGGTTACCCCGTGTGCAGTGATGTTGATCTGTCTAAACCTAAACCTAATCTAAACCATAACTAAATAGTTAGTAGCTTTTTGACTTTGCAACCTCACTGCAGAAGGGTTGCACCATCATTACTATGTTTCTGTCCCACTAGAAGTCACTCAAAATGTCCCTTACTATACAAATTTAAAATAGTGATTAACATATCAGTTCTAGCAAAACCTTAAAGCTCGCTCATGTAAAGTAAATGCATAAGGCAGCTGTTGGATGTGGTGACACTTAGTCTCCCACCACAATTGCAGCTCACTGTGGATGTAATACTGCATAACTAAACACTATTCCAAATGTAGCGGCCACCCGCCATTTTCAGTGCACTTCACAACACAAAATATTGACGAAGCCTAACTTTTTTTTTTTAAATAATGACCTTGGCTCCTATGTCAGCTGAGCCTTGAGTGTGTACCAGGTATAGTCCTTGGAAGTAAAAGTGGCCGACGTGATCTTGACCACATCATCCATTGAGTGCTGATTGGTCTATAAAACATAGGTCAAGCAGAAAACGTGGTAAAGTGTTCTTGACTTTCCTACTGACATGATGTTCTTCAGATTCCAGTTTCCCACTTTCCAAGGCATGCCCAAATGACATGATGTTCTTCAGATTCCAGTTTTCCACTTTCCAAGGCATGCCCAAAGAATGTAGACTGATTTCTTCTAATGCGAATAACCAGTTTTTGTGTGTGAGTTAAATTGCCTTTATTATATCTTCAATATATTATCTGTCCATAGTGTAAACATTATTCCATACTTGTTACAAAAAAATCTACACACACACAAAATTGATCAGTAATTCATAATAGCATGAGGCAAACACAGGAAACACTTTAAACAGCTTTTCATAGGGACAATCAGCAGAGATACCTTGGAGTCGCTGCTGCATCAAAGGATTGAGAATGTGTGGTAATGTCCAGTGTGCAGTGACATTAATTAAGATAACATAACACATATAACACAAACCTAGTCTTACCTTCTCTAAATCGGGCCACATATGAGAAAGCCTTTTGAACATTGGAACTGGGGACGATCTCAAACTGGCAGTGGAGGAAACAGGGGTCAGGCTGCCAGATTTTGACTGTACTTCTGAGTCATCTTTATCCTCAAAGAGATTCCTTGTTGTAAGGCTATCCATGACATACCTGAATCAGTACATACATGTATGTTTGAAAATCTGCATACTGTAAACTCCTATAACATCAAAAATAGATGATTATTATTTCAGGCTAAATTATGAGAAGATAAATACTAGAACATTTTGCGAAAACTAGAAAGATTTGTTGAAAAATAGATGTAGAAGAAGACAATGAGAGAAGATTTAACAACCTTTTATCTTGGCATGGAAAGGTGTCATGAGAATCAGTGTTACTTCTGGTTGGCGATGGCAAGTTATGAGGAAGTATGATTATCTACATTGATCAGCAAGTCACTTGACAATGATGACGACAAAATGTGTAAAAAATAAAGAGTGAGTTTCAGTGGCAGTACAAAATAACTTGATAATAGGATATGATGTTCACAGTAACATTTGTTTTAAAATCAGATGAAAGTTTTCTTGTAAAAAAAGAAAAATAAATTAGAATATGATTATATAAACTCTGTATAACTGGAGCTGACCAGAGAGGTTTGAAAGCCAGTTTGCACTAATTTAACTGTCTTATAATATGTGCAATAAACATCTTAAGACCAATAGAAGAAAACAACTTGTGATATAGAAGAGATGTGCAAATTATTTTGTGGATTTTGAAAAGGCATGTGACAGTATACATAAAAACAATTTGTGGAATGCTATGCAGAATTTTGGAACAGCAAAGAAGTTAATCAGAATGGCCAGACTATGTATGGAAGACACTTTTAAATCTGATCCTTTTCAAATAACATCTGGTTTAAAGTGAGGTGATGCTCTGTTTCTGCTTCTTTTCAATTTGGCATTAGAGAAAATTATAAGGAAGGTGAAAGAAGATTGTACTATAGGAGAAAGTACAAGAATACTTGGTTATTCAGATGACAACTGGCATCATTGAAGAAAATGTACTAGACACAGTGAAGAGACTGACTCACTTGAAGGAAGCAGCTCAAAAATGGGACTAGTTACTGATCAAAATAATACAGAACACATACTGATAACAAGACAGGGAAATGATTAAAACAAAAAGATAATATGAAAATCAAAGAAACTTAAATATACAAGTACATAGTAAAAACTTCACCTGCTCCAACATACTGAGAGAAGAAATTCCTTCTAGAACAAACTGGAAAGTATACTATGCCCTACAGTTTCTGCTGAAATCAAATGCTCTATCTTCAAACATTATGATTACAATAGATGATATGCTGATAAGACTAGTTTTCTTATATGGCTCTGAAACCTGGAGTACAATTAAAAGAAATTAAGCCTTATAAATATTGGAAAACAGAATTTTATGATGAATCTTTGGACCATAAAAAATGCAAACAGTGGGGAATGGAAAATGAGAAGCAACAATTAAACTCAAAATCTCAGACAGAAAGAATGGCAGATGACAGAGAGGCAAAACCTTTGTACATAACTGAGTTGCATTGATGTAGACCATGAGACATACCAAGAAGACCTGGATAGAGAGGACCTATCATAAAGATTAACAGAGCCAGCTCATATATGCAGCATTGAATGCTCTCAGAATGCTGAAAAAGAAGAATACAAATATGCTCACAATAGTAAGAAAAAAAACAACAATGGATGGAGTTAATTAACATTTACTCTGTACACAAAACTAACTGCCAAAGCTTACAGCACAAATAGAACACATACAAAAGCTGCTTCAACAACTGATGAGGCTGTGAGCACTATAGTAAAGCTTGCTCTAGGTATCTCTTTATAACCCAACATAGAAACACCTCAGTATAGGGACAAATAACATAAACCAAAGAAGTTAGTCCAGATCCACCTTTCTCATAAAATATATATATCTCAAAGGCAGACAAACAAAATATTATAGTTTTGTTGCAACTTCGAGCCCCAAAACCAGGACTAAGCTTTACACATTGGGCCAGACTTTGGTGTACCCTTTTGTGATGCAGCCAGTCAAGACTAGGTCCCCAGTTTCACCAACCTTCCAACCACTGAATGACCACCTCATAACTGGCGGTTCAAATGGTGATGCTGCACAACCTGCTGGCTTCTGAACTCGAAAGGGGAAAAGAGAGCTCTGCAACCCAGGTACCATGAAGGTGGTACTTTGTTATCGGGTCGGAAGGATAGCTTTTACAGCCTCCCCTCCCCCCCCCCCCCCCCCCCCCACCCCCCCCCCCCCCCCCCCCCCCCCCCACCTTTGTTAGCTAAAAGTCCTTTTCAGGGTTGAGGTAATTAAATTCATTAATTCAAACTTGGTTAAGACTACAGTTGTTATGTTCAAAAGTTTACCCAATACTTTTTAATAGTTATACTTAAGAGCTTATAATTTCTAAATATTAGAATCACAGAGCAGATTACATTCTAAAGTTCAGGTATATTATCTTATATCACAGGCCCTTACATTTCTTCTGCAAACCTTTAGAAGTATGAAGACCACCAAATCAGAAACACTGATATAAATGTCAACAGGATACATTTGTTGTTAAAACTCTGTCTTCCAGATTATTCAAAGAAAAGTAACCAACCTAACACACTATAGGGCAGAGGTTCTCAATCTTTTCCAGGGAGTGTCTCTCTTGAAGATGTGGCAAGACCCCCACGTCACAGCACCCACTTAGTTTACCCCCCCCCCCCCCCCCCCCCCCCCTTTTCCCCCCAAAAAAAAAACTTATTTAAAAATAAAAATTATAAAGAAACAAGAAAAAGATCCCAAACACTATTACCAAGAGCTTTGAGAAATAGAAATTATGGAGATAAATTTTGGTCAGTGTGTATCCTCAGTATATAATTAAAGGCACGTGTTATCTTATTTATTAGATTTTAAATGGTAGATATTCTATCTGCTTTGTTTTATAAAAAGATTTTAAATAATATTTTAACTGTAGTAAGTCTAACAGATTATCACAAATACAAATGAACTCAATTTCAAAATTGCTTGGCAACCCTTTGAAACTTTCTTGCAATCCCTAGAGGGAATTCCCTGGCTGAAAATCACTGCTATGTAGTGTTAAAATGCATGAGCATAACAGTTTTGTTAGGCCAGGTTTTATCCAAATCTGCAGAGCTGTTATATGCCACACAGTCCGCTTATAAAAAGGTAAAGTCGGTAGATGTAAACCAGCATCATTGCACACAGTTATAAACCCTAAGTGCTCTGCCAATACAAACAGCTGATAAAATACTGTCCGCCTATGTCGCCATCCGCATGCAACTCCGTCGCTACAGCGACATTCCTCCATTTACCCCAGAGTGTTAACTCTGGTAGCCATTACCTAGTACCTTGGTGAACCCCGGCAACCGCCCAATTTCGAACACCCTAACCCTAACACCGGCTGTGGGCTGCAGCGAGTCACAGCTGGATTTGAAAGCAAGGGTCCCATCGACTGCGCTAACGCGGCCACAGTCCCCTTATCTGTCTGTCTATACTGAAAGAGTGCAAAACACACCTGTGACTCTCTGAGTTGTCTCTGTCAACATAGAAGCAGCCATGAAGTGACTTCATAATATTATCATCAGTGACATCAAGTCTCCTCTCAATACACTGGTTCCTTGCCCATTGGTCAGCAACCTGTTTCTTTAATATCTCGTTGACATCTTCTCCATGCAGTGTCAGCACCTGAAGCAGAAATCAATTATCTGACACACTGTCTGGCTAAATGTAATGCTTGAGATAAATTTTAGCTTAGTTGACATGTTACAATAGTGATGGATTCTGAGTCAGTTTAGTGTCTATTATAGAAAGGGGGAAGGGAAAGAGAGACAGCTGTAGAAAGAATCAGTGTGAGATAGATACAGAAAGAGTTTGAGACGCACACAAAGAGTAACAGCAACATAGATTTATAGAGAATGAAACAGAGAAACATAGACAAAATTACCGAAAAAGAAAGAGAAAGGGGAAAGGCTGCAATTTTAGTTTGTCTATGGCTAACTGTAAGTGGTAGCATAGAAAAGTCATGTTGATAAAGCGTATACATAGAGGAGAATTATTCTCCACTTTTATTCACCATGGAATAAAAAAGCCCACACTGTATTCATACCAAGGCCTCTGTACATTTGCTCAAGATTGATTTTAGCTTTGTCATGTTGAATCAACAAAATTCAGCTTAAAATTAATGCTGTCCAAACTCTAGAAAACAAAATGTCTTCCTGAAAGAGTTAAGACAGCATTTTTTGGACATGTTAAGAGAAGTAATAGACTCGAGAACTTGGTTATCATTGCAAGATTGATGGGAAAGGAGCAAAGGCAAAGCAAAGAGATAAGTACCTAAATTACTTGTACATATAGGTGGGGGTGAGGCAAGGACACCTACCTGATCTGTTATTCTGGTGATCATGTAAGATGACAAACACAACTGCCTAAGCCTAATTGGTAGGGCACATGAAGCTAATATTTAGTGTGGCCAATTTTTTTTTCTCAATTTGAAGGCATTATGTTGTTTTTAGCCATTCTTCTTGAATGTTTGGAATATCAGTATTCTTGTTCAAGATCAATGAATATTACAGCTTCTCTGTAAACAAGCACAATTATGGCTAAATCAAAAGTGAAGAGAGGAAACAGAATAAGAAGCTTCATGGCATTATAACAACTCTCTCAACATAAAGTTTAAAAACAGGAATATTTTTTTTGGGCTGCATGAAGTGTTTGGAGAGATCAAATGTGAGTGTACATGCTGAAAAAAAAGTGAGATTCCTATCAATGTGTGCGTGTGTGTGTGTGTGGGTGTGTGCTTACATGAATTTGTGTGTGTAGATGAATGTGTTTCTATGTGTATCTATGCATTTTCCATCAATGGTTTTGTTTTTACCTTATATTCTTATAATTTATATTGCTATGAACACAGTATATGTTTTACAGATAAAATATAATTTCTATGTGAAAGAGGAGTGTTTGGAAGGACCAGATATCACAAAGTTGTGATTTTTTAAAAAGACATTTTTTTTCTAGTTCATTCTCTAGTAATCATCAAATGGTCCATTATCAGAACTGTGTGTCCCCACAGAAAAGATGTGAATTCTAATTTTTTTTTTATTTGTTAGAGTTGTGCTTATTTTAATGCTTCTTTTTATAGGGGAAAACTCTTTAAAATATTTAAAGTTCTCAGTTCATTCTTTTTTTTTTTTATTGTATTGTTTAGTTGAGATGTAGTTTTTATATGCAAATTTGTGATACGATGCAGAAATAATTGGTAAAAACATATAATAAATTATTTACCTGGTTGCAACACCAATGTATTGCACTTAAAAAAAAAAAAATTCCTAACTCAGTATGTTCTTGCCAGGACTGTAAAAATATTATTAATATGTAAAAATATTAATAATTTTTTATTTATATTAAAAAAAAAAGGAAAGCAGACCTCATTCAGGAGACTTCTAGACAAGCAGTTTATACTTGTAGATTGCAGAACATCTCTGAGGTTCTTCTCAAGGAATGAGATGATTATTCTCTCTTCACCTTGACAATCATAGAGTCTTGCCTCTACCAGAAGCTTGCAGGCATTGTTAATCTGTATGTTTGTAAGAATGGTAAACAGATTAGACACATGTTAATCAATGATTCTTTTAATATAATTACATGTTAACTTAGTGTACTTCAGTCAAAACAAAAGCTTAACTAACTCTCCTTTTTATGAGATTGCATTACATATCATCATCATATAGTAGGTTCTTTTGCAGAACGTCACTGCCTGAAAGAAACTCAGTCTCTCGCCAGCTCTCCACCTCATGAACTTTCATACTCAGAGTCACTTATATCCTGTGCCGATCTTCATGTTGGTCGGCCCCAGCCCCTCTTCCTTGTATCATGCCTTCTGCTATTTTTTTTTCCAATCCATCATCGAGGTTGATATGACCAAAATATTTCAGCTTCCACGACAGGATGCTGTTTATTAACCAATCTTACTTGATGTTCAGATCTTTCAACATTTACATCTTCTTTTTACAGTAGGGTCATCAGATGTCAAGCTAGCAGGGAACGACAAAGCTGTTTGTGGTTTTTATGAACAAGTTTTTGTTGTTTGACTGGCCAGGTTTCTTAATCTTAGCTAACTGGTGTGGGGATTTGCCTAAATTTTTCTAAAGAGTAAAATATTCTTTATGAGGGCACAATAAATTGCTACTTCTTGTTTCATGAAGTTATGTGTTTGTAAATATTACTGTTATGAAGGGATCTGTAACTTCTGCCATTTTCCCTTGTGGGCTACTAACTGCTGGTTTGTCCATCCCCAGATTATAAAATCTCAGTTTGGTTTGAATGATAAATTTCAAAAGAGATCCTTCCTTCATTCAATAATGATAACTTTCCAAAGAGATCCTTTTTTCATTCCATAATGATAAATTTCTGAAGAGATCCTTCTTTCATTCCATTATAAAAAATTTCTAAAAGAATCCTTCCTTCATTCCATAATGATAACTTTCTAAAGAGATCCTTCCTTCATTCCATAATGATAAGTCTCTGAAGAGATCTTTCCTTGCTTTATTTTCTCCTCTCTAAGCTGATACCTAAAAGTCTGACACCCTGAGTTTACATAATCTCAGTTTTGATGGCAGATTTACTGATTTAAAAATCACATCACAGCACACCGGACAAACACATAAATACTCCATCTCCCACAGCAAATATCTTAAGGTGTAAACGCTATCTGTTCCCAAAGCACACTAATTAAACACATGTTGAGAGCAGAAACAAAAGAGTGCAAATCCCAGAAACCTCATTTAACCTCCCAAGAAGTTAAAACTGGGGCACTTTTAAAGACAACACCAGTTTTGTGTAACCTGTAGTTCTGTGCCAGTAAGTAAAAGTAAGTAAAGGACCCTTTCCACGCCTTTAGTCGCATTGGGCATATAGGGCTAGACCTATATTTTTATAGACCAACGGCACAAGATGGGTGATGTGGTCAGCATCACGCCGGCCGCCTCTACTTCCCGGGATTGCACCCGGTACCCACTCAAGGCTGGGTCGACCTGGGAGCCAAGGTCATTTTTTTCTGTGCCAGTAAGGAAGTGATAATTCTAAAAACATTTTTTTTTTTTAAATATTTTACTCCAAAATTGCTTTTAGTAGGATTAACACGTCATGGATAATAATCACACAGGTTCAAATCCCCAAAACCTTGTTCAATTCACATAACCCAGTTGTTGTATGGTAACTGATGTAGGTAGGTAGGTAGTTGTACCCCACCAGGACATCACACAAGCGATAAACACCTGGTGACACAAAGTGCCACCATGCAGATGAGGATCACCAGTGGAGAGGTCCCAGAAACGTTTTTCAGCCGCAAGGTCATATTTAGGGCCCCCCGGCAAAAGCCAGGATGGGGCTTCGAAATAACACAAAATTGCATCCTATGAGGGGACGACTAAAATAATGTTTACAAAGTAAAATGTAGCCCAGTGTTTGTGTGATGCTGTTAGTGGTTAAAAATGTTTACAAAGTAAAATGTAGCCCAGTGTTTGTGTGATGCTGTTAGTGGTTAAAAATGTTTACAAAGTAAAATGTAGCCCAGTGTTTGTGTGATGCTGTTAGTGGTTAAAAATGTTTAATTTCTTCTTTCAAATTCTGAAGATTCTTCTTACCTCAAGATATTTCTGAAGAAAAGTTTGACAGGTCAGTTTCAGATTAGACAATGTAAAATAGTCTGCAGCATGTAGCACGCAGATCACATTGTCGATGTTCAGTTGCTCATCAGCATGGTAAATGTGCCTGCAGAGAAATGTTGAAACTACAGTAATTGATATGACATTTTTGTGTCATTAAATGGGAATATTTGGTAATATATTTGTCAAAATCATAGAGGATAATCGCTCTCTCATAGCATGTGTCAAAACACACAGTCAGTGCAGAATATCACACAAAAGTGGATAACTGATTATCACAAAATAGTAAATAAATAATAAATCACAATGTAGAGGATAATAGCAGAATACCTAATCAGACTTGATCATTAGGTTTTGTCAAAACAGTTGATAAAAACTGTTTTATAACACAGTGAATCATTTCTGTTTTACAATACAGATCATCAGTGTAGCACAACGCCATGGATCAATAGTGTAGCACAACATCATGGCTCATTAGCAGAGCACATCATCATAGATCATTAGTGTAGTGCAACATTATGAATCATTAGGGAAGAAAAACATCATGGAACATTAGTGAAGCAAACCACTATGGATACTTAGTGTAGTACAACACTATGGATCATTAGTGAAGCATAATATTGTAGATGATTAGTTTACCACAAAACTGTAGATAATTAGTGAAGCACTGTATCATGGATCATTATTGTAATACAAAACAAAGGATCATTAGTGAAACACAACAAAATGAACCATTATTGTCACACAAAACCATGGATCATTAGTGAAACACAACAAAATGAACCATTTTTGTAATACATAACCATGGATCATTAGTGAAACACAACAAAATGAACCATTATTGTCACACAAAACCATGGATCATTAGTGAAACACAACAAAATGAACCATTATTGTCACACAAAACCATGGATCATTAGTGAAACACAACAAAATGAACCATTATTGTAATACAAAACCATGGATCATTAGTGAAACACAACAAAATGAACCATTATTGTAATACAAAACAAAGGATCATTAGTGAAACACAACAAAATGAACCATTATTGTAATACAAAACCATGGATCATTAGTGAAACACAACAAAATGAACCATTATTGTAATACAAAACCATGGATCATTAGTGAAACACAACAAAATGAACCATTATTGTAATACAAAACAAAGGATCATTAGTGAAACACAACAAAATGAACCATTATTGTAATACAAAACAAAGGATCATTAGTGAAACACAACAAAATGAACCATTATTGTAATACAAAACAAAGGATCATTAGTGAAACACAACAAAATGAACCATTATTGTAATACAAAACCATGGATCATTAGTGAAACACAACAAAATGAACCATTATTGTAATACAAAACCATGGATCATTAGTGAAACACAACAAAATGAACCATTATTGTAATACAAAACAAAGGATCATTAGTGAAACACAACAAAATGAATCATTATTGTAATACAAAACCATGGATCATTAGTTTAGAACAACAAAATAGAAAATTCGTGTAACACATCATTACACATCATAACTGATTCAAAACACCATAGATCATTAGTGTAACACGACATCATGGATCATTAGTGTAACACAACATCATAGATCATTGGTGTAACAGAACATCATAGATCATTAGTGTAACACAACATCATGGATCATTTGTGTAACACAACATCATGCATCAATAGTGTAACACAACATCATGCATCATTAGTGTAACACAACATCATGGATTATTAGTGTAACACAACAACATGGATCATTAGTGTTGCACACAATCATGAATCATTTTAGAAGTGAAACACTTTTTTATCATTAGTGAAGCACAACATCATGTGTTATTATAGAAAAACATCATCATAGATCATTAGTGAAGCACAACATTGGAGCATTAGTTCAGAAAACATGTTGAAAAGTGGAGATATTTTTTCAAAATCAGACTGAGAAAATAACTAGATCAGATTTCTGCCACTGTCATAAAAGTTAAGGAAATATGTTTTAAACTTCTGCTGCTGTTGCATCAGCTGCTGCTGCCTACTTCTGCTTCTTCTTCGAGTTGACCGGCTGTAAATCCTAGTAAAAATGTCTAAGTGTTCGTGCACTTTTCGACTTTAATTTCCTGAACCTCAGTTTTGTTCACACATTTATTGTAAAGATCACACTTATGCAAACTGGTGGTTCTGTGCTCTCCAGCAGATGATCTCAAAGGACACACCTTTAATTGGTCAACTTTTACCACATACTTCTTAGGGTGGCAGTGAATTTATTCTTTGTCCCAAAAATGGGGCTCCAGAACTCACATATAAACAACAGAAGTTTGCAACATATATTACCTTAGGACCCAATATATATTACCTTAGGACCCAACATATATTACCTTAGGACCCAACATATATAACCTTAGGACCCAACATATATTACCTTAGGACCCAACAGATATAACCTTAGGACCCAACATGTATTACCTTAGGACCTAACATATATTACCTTAGGACCCAACATATATAACCTTAGGACCCAACATGTATTACCTTAGGACCTAACATATATTACCTTAGGACCTCCCTGAATGCCTCTGCTCTAATCTCTGGGAGATCAAATTCATTTTTGTGTGTGTCGCTTGTCTGAAGCAAATCTCTGAAAGTGTTGCTTGCACTCTCTAGCTTTGACTTGTGGGCACTGAACTTATCCTTGGTGTCACCAACAATGAAGAAGACGTCATGTGCCAGGTGACCTTCTGTCTGCTGGCTGTTCCCCTCTGCCACATTCTAAGAATATATAGTGTTTTGTTGGTGTGTTTGATGAGGATGTTATAACACTTAGTTCAAATAAAGAAGACCAAAAAATGGAGAGAAGAATAAGAAGAATAAGAATAAGAATAAGAAGAAGAAGAAGAAGAAGAAGAAGAAGAAGAAGAAGAAGAAGAAAAGAAGAAGAAGAAGAAGAAGAAGAAGAAGAAAAAGGAGGAGGAGGAGAAGGATGAGGAACAGACACTGAATGGTTTAGTTTATACAATGGATCAACAAGGCAATGGCACAAGGGTAGTAACCCATAAAAACTCCGTTCTATTTTTTACTCAAGCCTGAGTCCGAAGAATCTCAGCGCAGTGCATGAACTTCGTAGCACTCTGAGGAATCTAAAATACTTTCTGGGTGGATTTTCAACTCCAAATTTTGAAATGGCAGCGCTTTATGCTACACTTTTTTTTTTAAACGTGCGCAACAATACACACGGGCGTTCGTCTTACTACCTGGAGACCAGGGTAAATTACTAGAAGTTGACATGACAAAAAATCCCAGCCTTCACCTGGGCCTGAACCTGGGACCTCCATGCCTCATGACCACTCAGCCTTCCTCCCCCTCCCCCGACACTGAAAAATAAAAATAAGAAGAAGCAGAAAAAGAAGAAGCAGACGCAGAAGAAAGAAAAAAGAAGAAAGAGCAGCAGCAGCAACACCTGAAGAAGAAGCTTAAATGAAGAAAAGGAGGAAGACCATACACCTTGCACATATGGTACAGAAAAGGGTCTACAAAACAGTTTTATCAGAGACCGGATATTAGTCTTAAAACTTATACGGTAAATGAACAATACAATATTGTGAAAGACATTGTAAAACACATGAAGAAATTCTAAAATCCTATTAGATTTTGAATACATTCAGTATATATTAATTTTAAAACAAAGACTTGGCACTGTAATGTAAATGTAAACAAGCCATTACTACCATGCTATTTTTAAATTACACGAATAGGGAGTTGCAGAAAGGATTGGGCACTGTTGAAAATGTATATAAATATTTACTTATTGTGTTACTTTCACATGAGCTCTACAATGATGGCAAATAAGCTTAAGATATGTCAATAATGAAACTGTATGGTGCAGAAAGGATTGGGCACTGTTGAAAATGTATATAAATATTTACTTATTGTGTTACTTTCACATGAGCTCTACAATGATGGCAAATAAGCTTAAGATATGTCAATAATGAAACTGTATGGTGCAGAAAGGATTGGGCACTGTTGAAAATGTATATAAATATTTACTTATTGTGTTACTTTCACATGAGCTCTACAATGATGGCAAATAAGCTTAAGATATGTCAATAATGAAACTGTATGGTGCAGAGAGGATTGGGCACTGTTGAAAATGTATATAAATATTTACTTATTGTGTTACTTTCACATGAGCTCTACAATGATGGCAAATAAGCTTAAGATATGTCAATAATGAAACTGTATGGTGCAGAAAGGATTGGGCACTGTTGAAAATGTATATAAATATTTACTTATTGTGTTACTTTCACATGAGCTCTACAATGATGGCAAATAAGCTTAAGATATGTCAATAATGAAACTGTATGGTGCAGAAAGGATTGGGCACTGTTGAAAATGTATATAAATATTTACTTATTGTGTTACTTTCACATGAGCTCTACAATGATGGCAAATAAGCTTAAGATATGTCAATAATGAAACTGTATGGTGCAGAAACTTGGACTGTGAACAGACATATAGATTATCAAACTGAGTCTCTGAAAATGTGGAGGTATAGAATAATAGTTTATATTTCATGGAAACAATCAAATACTTAATGAAAGATATGTTTACACATTTAAAAAAAAAATTAATAGAGAGAGGAGAGAGAGAGAGAGAGAGAGAGAGAGAGAGAGAGAGAGAGAGAGAGAGAGAGAGAGAGAGAGAGAGAGAGAGAGAGAGAGAAAGAACACATTTTCGGCCACTTTTAAAGACTTGAAACTTGTCTTAAATCCATACTGGAAGGAAAAGTCAATGACAAAAAAGCGAGAGGTAGACAATGATACATTTGGAAGGATGACATCAAGATACAGATAAACAGCAGTTTAAGAGAGTGTACTAAAAGACATGAAATGGAGAATGTTAGAGACTCATTGCAGTCAACATTCATTGTGGAAACGGCACTTGATTGATTGAATGATAAAAAATAAAATAAAAAACTAATAAACAAAAACTACCTTCAGGTCTGAACAATCCAAAAGGCCACTATCATCAGATATGTCAGAAGTGTTCGAAACCTTATCCGTTTTGTCTGGTTCATCCATTGCTGAATCTATGAACTGCACATGGGGGTAGCTGTCTTCTAATAGTTTGGGCATGCCAGTAGATTTATGATGGGTTTCTGTTTGCAAGTGTCTGTCCAAATTTCAAACGTAATATATAGGTAATAGTGTCCTGAGAAGAGAAGAAGTGTAATCATTACACGTTTCTAGGGACGATTGAAGTGAGAAAGAAAGTGAGATAGAGAACAGAGGGGAGGGAAAGAACATCTATCTATCTTCTTTTACCCCACTAGGACAACACACAAGCAATAAACACCAGATGACACAAAGTGACACCATGTGGATAAGGATCACCCGTGGAAATATCCTAGAAACCGCGTTCAGCCATCAGACCATATTTTTGACCAGGCTGCATTGCGGCCCCTGGCAAGAACCAGAGTTGGGCTTCAAATAAAGAAACATTTCATCTCACAAAGAGATGGGTGTAGGGAGAGAGAGAGGAGAGAGAGAGAGAGAGAGAGAGAGAGAGAGAGAGAGAGAGAGAGAGAGAGAGAGAGAGAGAGAGAGAGAGAGAGAATTAGCAATAGCTTACTCAGTAACTTTGTACAACAGTTTACAATATTCAATAGAAACAAAAGTAACAAAGTTAAAGTCCCTTGTTCACGCCATTAGGCATATAGGGCATATAGGCCTAGACCTATATTTGTATAGACCAATCGGCACAAGATGGGTGATGTGATCAGCATCACGCCGGCCGCCTTTACTTCCCGGGACTGCATCCGGAACCCACTCAAGGCTGGGTCGACATGGGAATCAAGATCATTTTTTAACAAAGTTCGGTTCCGCCAGGGAGCGAACCCACGACCTTCCGATCCGCACGCGAGAGTCTGGCCGCTACGCCACAACGACTCCCAAAATATTCAATGCTATTAGTAAATATGCATTTAGTCTCATCACTAACATGTGGCCTGTCGATAAGATGTTTTGTAATCTCAAATGATCACCAGAACCATGGACCAGGTCAGTGCTCTAGTCGTGCCTATCCATGTGACCAAAGCATCCAGGACTCTGTGGCGTCAATCCGTTTGCCTCGTGCTCTGAGAGTCGTGGGTTCGTTTCACGGCTGCACCCTTCAGTTCACGAGTGCAATTTTTATAGAGATCCCTCGGATCGTCGCCGGAGCTACGGAGTTCGTGCTCTGTGCGACGCTCTCCGCAGGCAGCTAGCTGTTCTGTGGAGAGATACAGACCTATATGGGATAAAATCCGTTGCAATGAAGTCGATCTGTTCGACTTTAACCTGCGGTAACCTTTATCCAGGTATTTATCTTTCTGCTCTCCCCTTGCTTTTGTCCCCCTGTATAGAAAGTTTTTTTTTTTTAAGTCAACATCATGCCGGTCGCCTTTGCTTCCCTAGTACCCATTTAAGGTTAAGCCGACCTGGCAGGAGAGTCATTTTTGACCACACACAAAAAAGTCCGAATCCACGACCTTCGGATCCGCAGACGAGCGTCTAGCCACTACACCACAGCGGCTCCTGGATATCGTCATCATCATCATCATAAACCACTTCTGCCGTTAAGCGTCGTGGGGAGGAATAATTTGCGATCCAGTACACGTTGGCTGCCACTGGCTATTGTCATGCCCCGAAGGCGTAAAGTGTCTGTAATGTTGTCGATTCATGTTTTCCGCGACCGTCCTCTTGCTCTTGTAGCTGAACTTCTGAGATGTAGTGCTTGTGATGGTATTTGATCTTGCTGCATTCTAACGAGATGGCCAAACCACTTAATCTGCTGTTTCTCGATGAATGTAGTACAAGGTGTCGTTCCCACAATTTGCCTAATATTTCATTATTCACTCGATCTCGGATGGTTAGGTTGGTTGCTTTCTTTCAGGCACATCATCTCGCAGGTGGTGATTTGTATTTGGATATTTTTTCTGCGTAAAATGGTAATATTGTCTGTCTGTCTGTCTCTCTCTCTCTCTCCAAACACCTCCCTCCCCATCCATTCTCTTTCCTCCCATTCAGTTCTTCGAGCAAGGATCGTGTTGCTGCCCATTTCAAACAGTGTTTGGGCATATTTTCTGCAACTGTTTAACTAGTAATGCAAACACGACCCCTGGCATAGCTTAAGAAACCACTCTCACTAGCAAAAGAAAACCCTTCGGTTACGTACATCTTCAGACATCAACATGAATGAATTATAAAGAAACCTGAATGTTTAGAAAAACTGGGCTGCAGGTTATTTTGTAACCGTCGATGCTCCATTATAACCGTGTTCTATGGTTGCATGCGGTTTGTTGGATTTGTACCTGTTTGATTTTCATGCGGTGTTAATCGTACAAAATAAGGTTAAGGCAGGGAAGGGGGCTTTAAAGTTAAAATAAGTTAACATTAGAGCATATACAGGATACCCTGGGGCTCACGCAGGAACACCTTTTTTTTTATTATTGTTTAAATGTAGACTTTGATCTTAATGGTTGATTTTGAAGCTTTAAAACAATTTTACGCAACATAATTTTTGAGACCTACAATATACATTTTTTTTTCTTTGAAAAGTTTCTAAATATATCTTCTTAAGAAATAAACAAAATGAAACAAACAAACAAAAAAACAGTTGAATTATGAATATGTATCTAAAGTGAAGTCACACAAAGAAATTTAAAAAAAAAAAAAAGATATAACAACAAGAATCAACAAACCATGCTATGATTGTCCATGCCTAACAATATCTGCGACTTAGTTTGAAGAATTTCAAGACTACGAAAATGTAACAGCAACATTAAAAAAATACTATTATTCAACAGTAAGTATTGGAAGATGACAGAGGAAATAATTTAAGAAGAATCGGAATAAATGCCTAAGAAGAATCCTTTACATATTTTAGCCAAACAAGATCCCAAATGAAGAACTGGGGAGGAAAAAAAAAACTGTTAAATCACTGGAATGCGTTATCCAGGAAAAGATAGAGATGGCTTGGACATGTTTGCAGAATGCTTTATGAGAGGTTAGTTGCGTATCCTTTACAGTTTTTAAAAGGAGTAAAAAATTGTAAAGAAGAGAAAAAGTTGGTAAGAAACAACAATCAGTTTATGTTAGCTTTACAAAACGATCACAATAAACAAACAAAGGACGTAGCGGCTATTAGCCTTCATCAGCACATAAAGGACAACACAGTACACATACACAAATATGCTCTAACTATGAAGTGACTACATGGGACTCTAATGTATAAAATAAATTATACTCATCTGTGTCCCTGGCGAAAAAAACTTGGTACAATAAAATGACGGTCAGTCTATATATCTCCAACGCGCGAGTGGGGTCGAAAAAAGGGGTTGATTAGACGCCAACAGCGTACACTGAGTGTCTAAGGAGGGGGGAGGGGTTGGCCTATAGGGCGTAACCTGGGTTGGGTTGTGGGGATGACATTAGTTCATCCGCATGGAATAAAAGTGGTGCCTGTGCTTGCAAACAAATATCAGCAGACAGACCGACAGATAGATAGATAGACAGACCGACCGACCGACCGACCGACAGAGAGAGAGAGAGAGAGAGAGAGAGAGAGAGAGAGAGACAGACAGACAGACAGACAGACAGACAGACAGACAGACAGACAGACAGACAGACAGACAGACAGACAGACAGACAGACAGACAGATAGATAGATAGATAGATAGATAGATAGATAGATAGATAGATAGATAGATAGATAGATAGATAGATAGATAGATAGATAGATAGACAGACAGATAGATAGATAGATAGATAGATAGATAGATAGATAGATAGATAGATAGATAGATAGATAGATAGATAGATAGATAGATAGATAGATAGATAGATAGATAGATAGATAGATAGATAGATAGATAGATAGATAGATAGATAGATAGATAGATAGATAGATAGATAGATAGATAGATAGATAGATAGATAGATAGATAGATAGATAGATAGATAGATAGATAGATAGATAGATAGATAGATAGATAGATAGATAGATAGATAGATAGATAGATAGATAGATAGATAGATAGATAGATAGATTAGATCGTGGATGGTGGGGTGAATGGATTAGTGGGTAGCGCAATTGATGGGCGGGTAGACAATTAGACGTAATGATGGCCATACTCGTGGATGGATGGATGGATGGATGGATGGATGGATGGATGGGTCGGCTGATATATGAAATCAGGTAAAGGCAAGGGTCTCAAGACACGATGCTTCTCACTTACTGTCAGCTATGAAATAGAGACAGTAAGCGTGATTGTTATACAAAGTATCAGTCGAACCGAGCGCAGAACTGGTTAAAAAACAGAATGTAAGGGAGCCATGGAAAAATAGCTAGGGTGGATGGTGAGGTGAGTGGGCGAGTAGGTGGTGAGATAGATGGGTGTGTAGATGAGTGGATGGGTAAAGGATGGCTATATTGGTGGATGAATGGAATTGCTAATATATAGAATCTGGTCAAAATAGGGGTCTCGTGATATTTTTCGTATCCTTTACAGGACTTTGCAGAACCAACGTGTCGTTTTTCTAAGCAAATTTACGTCAAGTAGTTTGCCATTGCTTTTTGGACGGTCGGCTTTCTTGATATGACTGTCGAAACCAACGTAAGGCGCATGGCCCGCAGCTGTTTTTCCAACCCGGCATTCCGGCATTACAAATCGTTCGCGTCGACTTAGCCACAGAGCTTTCCTGTCGTCGGCAGATGGGAGAGGGGAAGGGGTGGACAACGTAAGGAAACACGGGAAAAGACAAGCGGGAAAAGTAGCATACCAGCAGCAATGGAGATCATTTGTAAATGCCCTATGTGTTATCAGCGACCTGCAGAGAATATATATATGTGTGTGTGTGTGTGGGGGGGGGGGGGGGGGGTATGTGTGTGTGAATTGTGCATGTGTGTGTGTAAAGAGAGCAGCAGACGTGAAACAACTAAAAAGTATTTAGAAGGTAATAAATATTATAACAAGAACATTTTTCTACCCCCCCCCCCCCCCCCCCCAGCGACTGTACTTACCAGGAGCGTCGCACAAAACACAAAGCTGGATTATTCTAGCCCCAGGTGTAACATCGATTCCTTTAACAGTGTG